AAAATATCAAGTAATCACGTTTTCAAGTCACGTAATTCATCTCCCACCTACAACCGAAATGAAATATGAGTTCTAGGATCGCATTAAAAACTGTGTAAAATTGACATTTTATAAAATGATCCAAATCAATATATTATTATATAATTATTTACCTATTACCTATAGGTACCAATATGTAGGATATGACTATAATGATGGATATTGATATTATGATTAATATTTTCAGAAGCATGGGTATAAATGTATTATTTGTAAGACAATATTAGTATAATAATTATTATTATACTATACTGGTGATATAAACAATGATCAACGGGATGGTTAACACGCATAACATAATAAATAGTAATATAATATAATAAATATATTATGATGTAGGTAGGTTTGTTGTAAGTAGCGTATGTACGATGCGCGAATTGTCATGTTTCGGGTCAGGGTTCATGGTTTTATATTGAATTCACGTCATCGTTTATTTTATTGAAATTGTGAAATGTGAGTAACTAAAGAAACTTGTGGTAACTGATTATAATTTTTAAATATTTAAATGAATAATACATCAATACATCGATACTTACTTATTACTTTTGTACAAAATTATGAATATTATTCGATGAATAATAATAAAAATGATTTAACAAAACAAGTAGGTACCTAATGATCAGAGAGTATAGACAAGTACCTATAGACTATTGCAATTAATGTTTTATAAACAATTTTTTGTTTGTTTAAATTTGAAATTATAATAATTAAGACGAAAATACATTTCATGGCACTACAAATTAAACAGATATATTTTGCAAATATTTCTAGATTAGATTCATTCTAGGATTCATTAGCAAAAATATGCTCTTAATGAAATTTAAATGTTAGCCAAGCGAGTATAATCATTAATCATAATAATATGACATAAATTTAAATTATTCATTTTTATAAATGTAGTTTTTCTAAAACCACACGAAATCTTTTTAAAACATCGAGCACAGTGCACACCTACAAATCAAAAATGTTATTTGTTTAGTTTTTATATCTAAAAATAAATTTTTTACGTTTTTTTTTTTTTTGTTATTATGTATACAATATAATATATATTATACACGCATTACCTAAATATATTTTTTTTAATGGTTTTATTTTGGTTTTTTCAGAAAGATAATGTTTTATTACCAATATAATATACTCTTGTCTAGGTACCTACAAGGAAAATATTTTCAAGTTAACGATACTTTCATGTGCATTGCTTTTTCAATTTCTAAATTGATAATAAATAAATTTATTTAAAAAAAAAAAAATTAATAATTCATTGTAAGAGTTTTAAAATATTATGGACATTAAATATGTCTACACGACCATTCCATTAAATTGTTTTCTCAGTCCTAGAATGTGACCATACAATAAAATAAATACTGAAGGGTCAGAGGTTCAATAACAGAGCTTGGGAAAAAATGACGATAGGATTGTATTGTTGTTGAATAAAAACACATTTGTAATATAAAAAAAATATTGATTTACTAATATTATACATGTACATATAATGTGATATGTTTGATAATTATTTTTAAAACAAGACTTTACATTTAATTTAAGACTTTGTACATTGAGTATTGAACACCGTACACATAATATTATCACATATTGTACTTACCTAAATATGATGGGTATATAATTAATTAAGTAATGAAATGTTGAGTGTTTAAAAATATTTGAAGCCCAAAGAAAAAAAAAATGAACCTATCCATTTAACTTACAATTTATTGTTTGAATAACAACTGTATATTTTTTTAATGAAATAAGTTTTTTTTATTCCTACAAAATAAGTTATATGATAATGTCAAGTAACATTCGGGTCGAAATAAAAAGTTGTTCCTTAATCTTAAAATATTCAGTTAATTAACGTGGACTTCGATTAACTGATCGATACCAATATTGGTAAATAATGTTTAGGATTCATTCTGGTGATGGGTAAATATCCAGTTAATAAAATTCAACGTTAGCAATAACCGGTATTTATGTGGTGATTTGGGTAAAAATATTTGTCTTGTATAATAATTTGAAGTAGATACAAGGCCAAATTAGAGAGGGCAACAAACCCGTATATTATTGGGCTTTTGAATTTGAACGTTATTGTAATATTTTTTTTCGTATCGAAAATCGCAAACAAATGTGACTAAATAGATATACAGTCATTAATATATTATATGGATAATATCTTAAAATGAAAAAGAATTAATAAAAAAAACACAACTATATCGTCATAATGCACAAACAATGTAACAACTAAGTTACCTTTCGTATTCTGCGTGATTCAACTGATAAGCGGTATTTCTTGAAAAAATAATTACAGAAAATCGTAATAGAGAATCCTTTATACAATATTATGAAGACCTAGCGAAAAAAATAGTGATACAGAAAAGATTACATAGTGACAACCTCGGTGACAACTGATAAGTCTAATTTTGATGAGATAAAATGTAATAATTAAGTCGTATTCAGCATTTAATAATGTAGCCAATACGGACACGAGTGGATACAGATTTATAAATATAAAAATATGATTACCTATTACTTTATTTTTGTCGTGTAGATCATACAAGTAATAGCGTTTAGATTATTTGAAATAAATATACAACCAAGTTAATGAGGAATGACTATCAATATTGAAAATAGACGAATTTAATGTATGTATTTTTTATAAATTGAAACGCAAAAAATATCACTGCATTCATTTCTACCAGAATTTAAAAATATCTTCAGCCACCCAATTTGCACTAATAAAGGGAATGAATAAGTTAAGACATAAGGTAGGTGATTGTTCTTAAGTCGGAGTATTTTGTCTCTAAATCTACATCAAATTAAAATTAGTATTTTTTGACAGAAATGAGGAAATTAAAATATATTCTTTCTAATATTGTTTTAATCGAGGGTAAACAGTCAATATTGTTTATGATGATATTCCATTTATACACTAAAATGTCATTATATTTTGAATTATTTAAAAAAAACACTACCGAACGTCCACTAATATTTTTGTGTAGGAACTTATTATTTCACGCTCGATAAATTACATTAATAGCCGGAAAGCTGCAAAATTGTAATTCATAATACATTGATAAGTTATACAACGCGATTTATATCATATTAATATTGGTAAATGTTTTCAAAGCATAAACATTTTATAAATATTTACAATATTTCTATTTTCTATAGGTAACATAGTTTTAAATATATATTTTTTTCAATTTGTCAAGTCTATATGAACAGATTAATTGGTTTTCAGCTTCATTAATTCAATGTCTTATCATGATTCATGACATGTAATCAATTAATATCAATAAACAATTTTCAAAACGAAGACTGATTAATTCATACCTCGTCTATTAAATATTAGTGTTAACGATAATATTTAGTAATGTATTAAATAATGAGTAACAAATTAAAAATTAATAAACCAAATAAAAAATAACAGTATCTCACGTTTTTACAATTATATCTATAGAAAATACCTTCTATGTATACAATCGTGATTAAACGTTAAGTGTAGACAAACATACATACTTATTATTTTGATATTATAAGCTGTTAATTCGACTTTAAATATTATATTATTTTGTATGCGTAAGTATACACAAATGTTTAGAATTTAAAATTTATTTTTACTGTTTAAAACTGATTATTTATGTAATTAGTTAAACAAACACTATTATGTATTGCCGATGTTCTCAAGAAGTTTCTAGTCGTATATCGTGGAGTACCTACTTAAATAATCACGCCCGTTGTCACAAAAAAAAATAAGGCGGACGAAAATTGTACATATTCATAACTTATAGGTATTGTTTTCCTTAAAAATAAAAGTTAAAAAAGTTAAAAATATTAGCTAAATAATGATAACAACTAGATACCAGATTGAATACGGATACACCATTTAAAAAAAATACGGGAGACTCACTCCCGTTCCGGTATCGTATCCGCACCGGTCTCTGTATGTAATTTTTAACACAATAAACATTTTATAATACCACCCCAGCTAATTTACATCACAAAAGCCGTTTTTGCAAAACGGATTACATTAGAACGGCAGTACTCGGGATAAAAGAAAAATACAAAATACGATTCGCAGAAGAGGTTGTGAGAATATTGCTCGTCGTACAGCGTAAGAATCTATACGTGAAAATAATATTATTTTATCGGTCGTTGGATTGGATGCAAGTGAATAAGGGTACCCGCCGATTAAATAGGCACACGAAGCAGTATTTATCAATTCTCTATTTTACGTTAAAACGACGACGATGCGCGTTACAATAATAATAATAATAATAATAATAATAATAATAATTATAATATTGCGACTGCTTGCAATGAGAATACTATCGCGACACGACACATGCGTAACCAGTTTTAACTTGGGGAAATCCGTATCGTCGCGCGAGCTTGTCGTACGAGCTGTCGATGATAATGTCAAATTGTCAACCCATAATTGCAATTTATGTCGGAAGCCGCAGTTAAATTTAGATCGATTATCTCGGTTCGGCGCGAGTGGCCGTCGTGCATCAACCAGCCGCACGATAAACAATGTGTGCGTTTATTATTAAAAAAAAAAAAAAAACGTTTGGATTAAGGTCGGAAATCATCTTTGTTGAGACGATGACGCGGTTTCGGGACAGACGAGGCCGAATCTAAAGGCCAGCGTATAAGGACCGCCTAGCGGGAGCACAAAAACACGACTCCAGGGCATTTCCCGGTTCTATTTCCGGTGTTGAAAATATCGGTCGGTCGTAATCATTAATATTGCACTTACATAATCGATATCAAACGCAAAAACGACGCGAAGTCACACCGGACAAAATACTTATTACTAGGCAATCGTTTCAACGTGAATTCGCTTAGTTACATAACTACTTGTGCTTAAACTTATTACTCCATAGGTACTTATATTTATTTCTTACTAGAATATACTACCTACTACTACTATATTATAATCACTCTAAGGTCCACACACTACTCACCTCTTCGCTAACGTTTCTGGGCAAGTGTTTGACCTGCAGCTGCCTGTCCTTGTGGAACTTGATCTTGGCATCTTGCACTTTCCGCTTGATCTCCTCCTCCGGTTCTTCTTCCCAAAACCGTTCGGTGGACGCCGTGGCCTGCAGTACCTGGTGGTTGCCGGCGATGCCGACGCCGGCACCGGCTCCGTTCCAAAACGCCTTTGGATCATTGAGCTTGTACTTGAAACACGGGTGTCCCTCGACGGCGAACACCGATTTGGCGGTTTCCGTCGTCATCGTTCGGTACAGAACGAGCCGGTCAAGCAGGTAATATTATATTTCGCGCGTAGTTTGAAATAATCGTGGGACGACTTAACGGTTTTTTTGAACGTCTTCGTCTTTGCTGCAGTAAGTATTGTTTGGCGGTCGACCCAAACGTGAACGAAAAGAAACGATCGTTGGGATATTCAAAAAAATATATATTACTACAATATATGAAAACGGACGTCGTCGTCGTCGTCGTCGGTGTTATAATATTCTCGGGTTGGCGACGGTGCCGGACGACGTTCGAGAGCGCCAAGTCGAGTGACAATGAAATACCTGGCCGATTGCGGCGGCGCGGTTCCGGAGAGGAGGTGAACCGGGCGACGCACGCGCAGTACCACGCGCATGGACGTGTGTGTTTGTGTGTACGTACGTGTGCGCGTGTGTGAGAGCGTCCGTGTATTGCGTGCGCACGAGTTTGTACGTTTGGCGCGCGCGCGTGTTGCAGTGCGTGTGTGCGCGTGTGTATGGTTATGCGCCGCCGTTCGGCGCGCGCACTTTTAACGCACATGTTCGGACAGCCGGTGAAGACGATAGAGCGACGACGCGGCCACTGGTAGCGCGTCGGTGACGAACTGAACGTGTGATACGGTGATAGCGGCAAATGGACCCGCGCGTGCCGGTTTTATTGTCGCAACGTCGTCGCCACCAAAGTTATCGTCCCAAGTACCTCATTTTTGCTTCTTCTCCGTGGTTACTTGTTTTCAAACATCATTTGTCCCGTCGTCGAGGCGAGTGCCCTCTTAGCGGACCTGCAATATTATTATTAGTTAACCGCAGCGCAACCCGTGAAAATTTCCTATTATATTATAATTTTCTGCACATATGATAAAGTGACTAAGTGTGACTAAGTGTGACTAAATAATAATATGATTATTTGGTGTTGCAATCAAGGCCGTCCCAAAGGAATAGTTGGTTAACAATCCTTTCATGTCACTTGTTTATAAACCCCACTATGATTACCATTGATATTTTAGCTAGTAAAACACAAAATATTAAAAGAAGAACAAGAATAAAATAATTTTATATTTTATTGCCACACATGGGGATTCGGAACTTTGAGTGTTGACATTACAGCAACGCCACTAAAAGACACGTACTGGCCTGTTTGTGGCTTGTATCGGCAAGCGAATATTGGAAGACAATGGGCTTATCCTTTGCATCGCTTGACTGACTATACGGGTATAGAACAATTAAAAATAATTAATTTAAGTTGAGTTATGAATTATGATACAAATTAAAAGCATGCAGTGTACTGAGCGGAGAGCGAAAAATGATTTTTCAAGTCGGTTAATAAATTAACTTACCCCCCATCAATTATTTTTCGGCGCAAGCTGCTATTATGTCCTACATTACAACTACAACGATTTGATATACATTTTTAAAATATGTAAATAGGTTCTGAAGACCGAGGTACTTGGTACGAATTTATAACGAAACTAGCTGATATAATTTTATAAAGCTTGTTGTTTTTATAATTCCTATTTCTATTTCGATATTGACCATTCTTATTAAATCGCGAAACTTTAAGCAAAATCTTTTATTTATTTAAATACATTTTACTTAGGATATACTTCTAAGTGACCAAAAGGTGAAAAATTAATAAATGTTGTGTCTTTAAAATGAAGAACGAAACGATGTAAAATTGTATAATTTCTTTATACAATAATGATTTTTTTTTAAATATTTTTTCTAAACACTTATCGAACAGCTCTGCAGGAGTGCTCTAAAAAGTTTCAAGCAGATATAATTTACTAGGTGCCTACCCAGGTGTCTAGGCATAGTCAGCATAGTCTTATTATCTCGATAAGAAATAATGTTGTATACGGGGTTGTATATTAGTACTGCGAAAAGGATATTTCATGTTTGTGTTGCATAATTTCTCATGTTGCGATTTTCTAATTTTGTTGTAATTCAAAAACGAATAACTGTAGACACTTGAAATTTACACCATGTGTTTATTTCATCAATTCATATACTTGATAAAATTATCAAAATACTAGTTTTAAGCTGTTGACGGACATTTTTTTTGCTTTTTTTTTTAAATGTTAGTAAATGGGTTGAGTAAGTTGGTTGAGTCAAAAAGCATGACAATTTAATACAAAAGTCTTGATATATTGGTATAATAGTAGTTGAAAAATATTAAAAATACATAGGCAAGGTTTTTTTTTGTAAGCATATTCTTAATATGTATTAATGTGTATTCTTGAGTCTAAACTAATATTATGAGTATTTTAAATAAAAATGATGAAATGTCTTTATACTAACTAATTTTTAATTTTCTTAATTTTTAATAATAATATTAAGTGTTCAAATTCTTTAAATAATATATACAATCCTTTTATACGAAAATATATGTTTTTTAGGGTTATTTATTTTTATTGGTATAACTAAGTGGGCCAATTTTTTTATTTTCCCCGTAGATATTTTTGACCCAGTCCGGCCCTGCCTAATGTTCAGCCGAGTGACATCCACTTACCCGCTTTTTTAACTTATAAGTAAAATATAAAAAATATAAAAACCACGAATATCCTATCATAATATTACATTTTCGTATAAAATATTATATTAAATCTAGGAAAAAAAATTCCGGGGAAAAAGACCCTTACCAACGAGGCAACATACACTAAACATTCGCCACACCCGGAAGCTATTCGTTCAAAAAGTTTCGTTTACTTGATTTGGTACGCAATTCGTGTGCGCCTGGCATGCACGTGGCTTACGAACATATTATCTATGTTGGTAATCCCTGCTTTTTGATATACATAGTTAAAATCCATTGTTTTATCAGTTATCGCCATCATCCAAAGTCGTAAGCAAGGCGGATACATCCACCTTGGTCGTAAGTTAAACCTATATTATACTCAATGGTCTATACGTGGAACAGGGTTCCCTATTAAATTACCCATACTACTCTGTGCATATTTTTGAATTATGTTTGCGGGACACGAAACTTGACTATTCAATTTACAGAATTCTAAAATATGTACAGGGTAGGTACTGAGTAAAGTTGGTAACTGAGTTATAGGATGTTCCCAGTTTTCGCGGAAACATGATATTATATAATATGAGATGTATACGTATAATAGTTTAATAGCTGTTACTTGTTAGGTCTGCTAAATTTAATTTATAAATAAATATATCTATGAGAAAATAACCATACGACGGCTGTTATATGTGACGCTTGTTTAAATGTTATCATGTGGAGTGTGCACGACCGGCAATTTTTGTTGTGGCGACTTGCTTTACAAATAAGTAGGTATATTTTACGATCGAGTGTTTGGCTAATGACGTTTATTGGATAATGCTATATTGCTATAATGCTATCACAGTAATGTGACAATAACGATACCGACATCTGCAGCTGTTATATTTTGCGATAGTAACATTATGTACTTTTACCAATAGCATAATATGATGAAAGCATTGAAACCATGAAATTAAAATTAAAATTTGATATTATCCTCAATTGAATTAAAACTGCTGTTCTTGACTAGAGTCTACCTTTAAAATGATATACTTTTCGTTTTTTACCGATTACCATTTGCCATATTATTATAACATAAAAAATTATAATACTCGAATAATTCAATCATTTCGACTTTAAAATTAATATCACTTAAAAAAAGACTTCACTTTCAGTACGCTCAAACACAGCTTATATTCTTATCTACAATTAATTATAATATTATATTATGTCGATTTGGTCTATTATTAACCATAAATAAACTTTGAGAATCCAATAAGCAAATTTGAAATGTTACTTGTGTGTATAAGACGGAGACATTATTTACATGCTGGTACTGAAATATTCATAAGGCCTATGGACTATGGGTACAACACTGTAGTCTGTATAACGTCCTCTAAGTATAATGACTTAATTAAATAAATAAAAAAAATGATCATTTATTGAGTTCCAAAGAGTAATATGTTTATAAATATGTCAGTTTGCATATGATAATTTTAATCAGTTTTCATTTAATTTGATTATTAATAAATTGTATTAATTAATAGAACCTATTTTAATAGCCATAACAATATTAATAGGTAACAATATAATAGGCATTCATATTTTATGTGTACCAAATTTAAATTTAAAAAGCAGGTAAGTGGGTAACGATCTGGTGACTAGGATTGTAATTGATGTGTTAAATTTGAGTTGATAAAAAATTATTGTACCTATACGAAAAACGATTCTGAGCAAAGACGGTCTGTCAGCCTTGAATATTACTAAGTAGGTATATTTAATGATATTATTGAGATTAAAGTAATTTTTTTACTATATAATAGGCAAGCGTAATGTAGTAGGTTAGATTCATTTCTGTCGAAAAATTGCATTGAGAAATGCTATTATGTGTATAAAATATAATAATATACCTACTCTAAAAGTCTCAAGTACCCACGAATAATATTTTAAAATGACAACAAAATAACTAAATCTAACGATTCAAGAATAACTTCTTGGTTTAAATATGTAATTTTGTCCAAATTTTAACTTAGAATAACTATAAAAAAGAACAGTGTTATATATTTTTTAAATTTTTTGGTTATAGAATTAAATGCTTACTTGCAACCTTATTTTAAATTTTCAATCCTTATAGTTATAAAAGTTTATTGACATTTGAACTTTAGGTACCTAAAAAAACGTGCCATGTATTTTTAATATTTTTCAACTTCTGTTATAAAAATATGTCAGGAACCTTTAATTAAATTTGCAAAGCTTTTGACCCTAAGAGTAAATGTTATTGACATGCATAGAAAAAAAACAGAAAAAAATTATGGCTGAAAATGTCAGTAAACCGCTTAAGGCAAAACAAAATATTTTTAAAATGTTATCAAGTATAGGAAATAATAAAATAAACATTTGGTGTAAATTTCAAGTATCTACAGTTTTTCGTTTTTGAATTACAACAAAATAGAAAAGTTGTACAATGATAAATCGAGTGAATATTTAATGTTGTACCTAAACATTTAAACTTCAAACGTTTAAAAAAATGTCATTTAACTTTCTAACAGACATTTTTTGGGGGTAAATTAGACAAAAATTATAAAGAATCTCGAATTAAATTTTCAAGGTCTTAGATTTAAGAAGAACAATTTGTATGAGTTTTTAACTCATAAAAATATGCAAATTTTCTTGAGTTTTACATATTTTGTCGAAATTTGAAGTTCAAACGCTCGTAAAAGATTATTGTGTGGATTTATGAACTTTTTTTTTGATTTATTCGAACAATCTTACAAAGAACTTTGTATTACATTTTCATGTTTTTTGACCCATCAAACATTTT